GCTACCTTGTTCCACCCAGTGGGGACAGTATGGCAGCACTGACGGAAAGAAATTTGGGAGCCAGTGGCACAGGATCTAGCAAGCCATTGCTTTCTGTCTGGGAATGCAGGGGAGGGGCTGGCACGGCACAGGTGACCCCTGCCTTGGCACTGGCCATTGGCCTGCAGGGCCCCACGTTTACCGCTAGTGCGGCTGGCCACCTGGGGCCCTGAATCCTAGCAGTCTGGGGTGCTGGGGGTATGTGGCAGCAAATTGCAGCAGCATGGGGCTCTCTCCCTGGAGTGATTTATGGGGGGGGAAGAGAGCAGTGTGAAGGGGCTCCCTCTGCTTGCCTTGTGCCCCAGCCCCATCCCTGTGGGTAGCTGCCCCTCCTGACCCTGGCTCATTTGTCTGGAGGGGAGAAGCCGCCTGTCAGCTCCTGTCAGAGGCATGTGATAAAGTGTGGAGTGGTAATTACCCTCCCCAAACCCAGACAGGGTGGGGGAGCCGAGAAGAAAAATAGTGGGGGGGAGGGATTGGGGGAGCGGCTGGGGCCTGCCTCCCACCTCTGGCTCCCTGCCTTGGGGGAGTTGGGGGAAGCTCCATGGGAGGTCCTCTGCGCTCCTCTCTGTGGGAATGGGTGTTTTTGGAAAGTGCAGCTAGCTCTGGGTTGGAGGCTGATAGGCAGCGTAGGCTGCCTGATCTGTAGCATGTACTAGAAGACTGAGGCTTGTTTTGAATGGAACGGTGCCTTGGAGGAGGTCTGACATGGAGCATGCCCCCCATTTGTGTAGAGTGGTCATTTTGGTGCCCTCCTTGGTGCTGGCAGAGCTGGGGTTAGAAATGGAGCTGCAGCATTGGCCAAAGTGGGATCAGGATCAGCTGCATGGGGTGGCTGCTCTGGGCTGGGGGGGACGGACATGACACGACTAGCTGTTTGCGGGGTGAGGGTAGGCATGTTGCACTGCACCCTGCTGGCTCTGGGGTCTGAAGGAACGTGGGAAGATAGGGCAGCCGGGCCCCGGGGTTTCCAGGGCCCCGTGGCCCCTTTCTGTTCTGCATGGCGACTCTTTGAAGCATTTCTAGCTCATGTTAGGGCTGAGGAGGCTTTTGTCTGTGACATCTTGGGGCCTTGGTGCGTGGGGACTGGACATGACTTTCCCTGCTGGCATCAGCTCCTGGGCTGAACTACCCCTCTCACTGTTGGCCCTGGGTCTGGGCATGTGCCTTCTTCCAGCCTGGGTGCCTGGGCCAGTACCCTCTCTTGGGGGGAGAGGGGGAGGGGGGCAACCCCTTTGCTATGGCACCCTTTCTGTGGGGCCTTCACCTTGGAGTAGATCCTGGGATGGGCAGGAAGGAGCCTCTGCTCCGGAGCAGGGAGCCTGGTGCAGTTTGGGACTGGAGGTGTCTGGGCCCAGGCAGGGCCTCAGCCCTTCCCTGGCCTCAGGTGTTGAGCTGGGCTCTCCCCGTCCCCACACCCGCCCCTTTATCGCTCCTATCGGGCCAGGCCAGCCTCCCTGGGCAGGCGCAGGGTGGGCAGGGCTGTACCCGCCCTGGCCCATCCCTAGGAGCTCGCCAGACAGCCCAGCCTCGTTCCTCTGGATCCTTTTCCGCCTCCACGGGGCTGGGAGCCAGCGCTGTCCTCTCGGCAAATAAACATCCCCCTGGCTGGGCCCTGCGCCAGCCGCTTAAATAAACAGCCCGGGCTGGAATTGTGAAACCCTGGCCCCCTGCTCCTGCTCTGCTGGGACCTGCCCACCCCCACGTTGTCTCTGCTGGGGCCTGCTCCCCCCTCCCTGTCCTGGGCCAGCATGTGTGGAAGGCCTGGGTTGGGGGACAAGGGGGGCGGGGGCTGGCACCTGGCCTGGATGAGAGTGTAGAAGAGCTGGGAGAGGGTTCCTTGTACCCTGCCCTCCCCAGGAATTGTAATAGCAGCACAAGGAGTGTGTTCAAGCTCCTTGCTCTGTCCCTAAATTGATCATTAGGGCAAGGTAGCTGGGGGCCAGCAGCAGATTCCTGGGGAGAGGAAGGGCAGGGGCACAGGGTAGGGCCTGGGACATGGGCCTTGCCCTGAAGGGGTGTTGTCCCCTGGTGTGCCTTTGCTGAGCTAGAGGGCTGCATTGGCTCTGCCCAGCCAGGGTGTATTGTCCTTGGGCTGATGGCGCAGCACCTCTGTATCAGGCTGTCTCCCTCCCCAGCCTGATTGTATCCTGCTGTGCTGCCCTGCTCCTGCCTCGCAGCTGGCCCTTGGGGATGGGGAAGGCTGGCCCTGGCCCTCAAAGGCGAAGAACTGATGGGGGCGCTACTCACCTGGGAGCCCTAACACTTGGTGCACACGTGATCATCAGTCACCTGTGGAGTAGAGATGATGGCTGGTCACTAACCCACCCAGGGCTCTGGTGAGCCTGCACTGGGGGGCAGGGTTAGGGACAGAGCTGTGAAGGGAGCCTGGGGTTTGGGTGTAGGGGGCCACTAGCTAGGACTGAGGGGCCTCTTGGGGCTGGGGCATATCTGTGCTGGACCAGCATCTTCAAGCCTGTTCTCCCAGGTTTCCAGGCCTCATGGCTTTGGATCTGCCTACCACCCATACGATGTGGTCAGGCTGGGCACTGAAGTGGCATGACGCTGCAGTCTGCCCCTGCTCAGCTTCTTGCGGCTTTGACACCGAGAGGTTTCTTTGGCTTGGCTGAAGACACTGTCCTCATTTGACCTCTTCTCACTGTGCTGATTGGGGCTGCTGGAAATAGGCATCCTGGCCAGTGAAATGTGTCTCCCCATGCTAGGGAGGGCAGCGGCTGGCAAAACAAACATGCCAAGGCCCCAGGCAGAGCTGGGTGGGCCAGTGAACACAGTGCCCACCAGGATCCCAATTGGGGTGGGGGGGAACCTCTGCACTTGGCACAGGTGTGGCACATAGCAAGTGAGTGGGTAACCCATCAGCCCAGCAGGGGTGTGTGCGCATGGCATAGCAAATTAATTGGCACAGGGGGGAGCTGCGTAATGGACAGACTTTGTTTCTGCATCAGCTGTCTGGTCTCCTTGCCAGTGCCCCCTCCAGAGGGTCCTGGAGAGCCCCTGTCATGTGCTAGGCTGGTATTACCTGCTGTGGCCAGGAAGGAGTTTTCCAGCCCTACTGCTTGCCCTGGTGTCTCTAGCTGCCACTGGCCCCCTGTGGAGATCGGGCTATTGCAGGATGCTGAGATATTTGACCTTTTTCCTCCTCTCCCAGAACTGTGGGGCAGGGTGGGACTGGGACCCTGATACCCAACAGGGCAGGGTGGCTGATGCAGGAGGAGGTTTGGCTGGGTAAGTGGTACATCTCCCCTGCATACAGTTCATTCTCCCAGGGCTTCCCTCTCCAGGGAGGGGTACGGGCATGAGCTGATTTCTGTCAGGTAAAAGTCCTGCCATCACTCCCTTACTCAGAGAGCTGTCTCTTGTCCATGCTGGTGCCAAGATTGAGCTTCTGAGGCTGCCAGGACTTGTTGTACAGAGCGTGGAATGGGCAAGTGCATGTGACTAATGGCAAGATGCCCCGTGTCTTGTCGTCGTGTCCCTCCGCCCCCCCAGGGCTGTGTGGTGCCAATGCTGGTTGGCTTTGCTGTGGGCATGCGTGGGGTTGGCTTAATGAAAAGGTTACCTGCACTGGAAGGACTTCAGCTTAGCAAAGGCAGAGGGAGAAGACTGGGCAAGATGTCCCCTTCCCAAGTCAAGGCTGGTGGTAGGTAATTGCATTTTGAGATCCCTGTGTACATTGGCTCCAACCTGGCACTGTGATTGGGGGCTTCTGCCCAAATTAATTCTGAAAGTTGATACCCCTATGGAGGCTGCCAGGGTCTTGGGCTGGGATCCAGGACTTTGGGCCATCTCCCCTCACTAAGCCTTCAGGTGTAGGGATGCTGCCATCCCTAGATCCTTTATAGGAGCAGGGTCTGGAAAAAAAAAAAAAAAAAAGAGGGTATGGGTAGCACCCTGCCAGTGCTGAGCATTGCATGGGATGGAGGGACTACTGCCATTTCACCTGATGTGGTCAGGAACCATTGCCAGGCTCCCCAGCCACTGCTTGTGTGGCTGCTCCTGGCAAAGATGCCAGACATGGCATTGGGAGGGCAGGAGAGACAGGCACCTTATGAAGTGGGCCAGAGACTTGGAGGAGGTCGGAGCACTCTAGGGATTTAGTCACCTTCCCAGGGTTGATGCAAGCACTATTCCCACTGCTGCTGCCCATGTAGGCTGTCAGATGGCTGGCATCCATCAGGGTAGTGCTGAGGGCTGGGTTCAAGGTGCCCCTAGGAACAAGTTGAAGAGTGGGGTCTCTATGCTCTTCATGCAAGGGGAGCCTTGGGCCACAGTGCCTGCAGGGCTGGCAGTGGGTGTGTTGGAGGCTTGGGTAATGCCCCTTGTCCTGAAAGGGTTAAAGAGGCCCAAGGCAGAAGCATTCAGTGGGGAGCAGTGAGAGAAAGTGGGAGCTGGGTTTTGTGTAGTGAGGCAGTCCTGGGACTGGCTGAGCATGTGCTAGCAGGAGGCACGGCAGTGTGCCAGCGAACTGATGCCCACAGGCATCGGGCCTGGCCCACACAGCACAGCTGTGAGGTGTTTCAGGGCTTCACTCCTACCACAGCCCCTACTAGCCCAGCTCCATACAGCCCTATTGGTTCTTGGCAAGGCGGGTCGCAGGTTTGCAGTGCTCGCACCTGGCTGATGGCCTGTTCCCTGAGTCTGCTGCCTACGCGTCCTCTTGTCCCGTTAATCCACAGATTAAAAGCCTGGGGGAGGTTCTGGTCCTGCTGGCTTTGGCTCTGGCTTTGGCAAGTTTGGGGATTAGCTACCCCCTAATCGGGCAGCACTGACTCCGTGGGCAGTAACCACTCCAGGGGATCCTGGCATCCCTGTGCTGCCCTGGGAGCAGGAGAGTGCATGTGGTAAATGATAAGGTTCCCTGTGGCTTTGCTATGCTGTGCTGCTGCCAGCCTTCGTCCACCCCCTCACTGCAGCAAGTTGTGAGGGGCTTTGCATGTGTGTGTGCATGCATGTATGTCTGGGGGCACTAGTCTTCCCTTCCTGGCCCCATTCAGCTGCCTTGATCCAAAGAGCCTGGCCCATCATTTCAGGTGGTGCCTGTGTCAAAACTCCAGCTACTGCTTGCTGCTAACCCAGTTCTGGGTCAGAGGGGGCCCCAGGGGGCCAGTGGCAGGGAGGGGCATGAAACCCCTTACAGCCACCTCACACGGAGACTCCTGATGGCAGTCCCTGGGACTTGCCTACTGCAGCCTGTCCTGGCAGCTGCTGGCACTCGGACCTGCTGGGCTTCATGGCATATTGTGTTATGGTAGAGCCTAGCAGCCCCATTGCACTAGGCATGGCATAGGCACCAGTGAGATGGGGCTTGCCCTGAAAAGGCCCCATGTCACCTAGACCAGGCACTGCCCCTGCTGAGAGACCAGGCTCTGGTATGTGCCAGGGATGCTGTGTGCTTAGCACTTTCCTTACCATAGGTGCAAAGTTGTGTGGGGTCAGCCTGAACTCCTGGCCCGGTGTGTGTGCGACTCCTGCTTGGTGCTGATATTACACACTCAAGTGGTGTTTTGCCGCAGGCACTGTTCCTGTGCTGGCTTCTGGCTGGAGACTCCTCCTGCAGTGCCCAGTTGTTAACAACCCCTGTCTTGTCTCTCTCCCCATTGCAGGCCTTGTACAAGCAGCTGCTGGAACCACTGAGTGGACATCACTTGCCAGCCCTTGAATCATTGCCCACTGGAGCCAGCAGTTCCTGGGACCTGCCTGCAGTTCTGAAGGAGGCCCGTTCAGAAGCATCGGCAAGGACAGTGCTGTGGGTGCCCGTGGCCAGAGTCTGGGCCCAGCAGATGCTGGGTTAGCCCCTGAGCAGGGCAAGGAGGCCCCATAACCCAAACTGTGCTGCACACAGCTCCCATGCACCTGCCCGGGCCTCGGTAAAGCCTTTGCCTTCCGGGCTTCCCACATGTGACTTCTGCTCCGGGATTGTGTGTTCCCAGTGCCAGAGGGCCCCCACACCATGGCCAGCAACAGCAGCTCCTGTCCCACCCCTGGGGGCGGGCACCTCAATGGGTACCCTATGCCCCACTACGCCTTCTTCTTCCCGCACATGATTGGTGGGCTCTCACCGCCAGGCGCGCTGGCAGGCATCCAGCACCAGCTCCCTGTGAGTGGATACAGCACCCCCTCGCCAGCCAGTAAGTCCTCACCCATCATCACAATGTTGCTTGGGAAGCTGGGCTGAGGTGGATCAGCTGATGGCTGTAGCCTGCCTGCTCTGGTGTGGGCGAGCTCTGGAGCTTCCTCTGCATTGGCAAAGGTGCCAGCAGGCTGCAGATGGCAGTGCTTGTGGCTGGAGTAGTGAGGTCATGCAGGGAGGGGCTGGGAGCTCAGACTCCTGGGTTCTGCTCCTTCTGGAACAAGTGGTTAGATCTGGAGGATGACATGCAGCCAGGACTCCTGGGTCCGGTTGGCTCTGCTGCTGATGCACCGTGTGCCTCACTTTCCCTGTAGGGAGCAGTTGGAATCACCCTTTCCCACAAAGTGCTTTGGTAGCTGTGGGACCGATGGGGGTGGGGGGTTTCTGTGCTGGGAGAGAGTGGCCCTGTTGCTCTGCCCCCATTATCCTAACTTTTGCTTTTTGGGGGACGGGAAATGACTGTGTTTAGAAACAGGAAGTGCCGGCTGGCGGGGCTCCAGGCCGGGGCTGCACTCCACCTCGCCTCATCCGGGTGCTGCGGGGGGAACGCGCACCTATTTATAACCTGCCCTGCTCACTGGGCGGCTTCCTCCTCCGTCCCCTGAGCCACTCAGGGTTCCTGCCTGTCCCAGTGCAATGCATGCTCTTGCTAGGCACTGGGCCGCTGCAGTGGGCAGTGTCATTGGGCTAGGAGTGGGGCTGGCATCCCTGAAATGGGCTGGGCCCCATCCGGAATTCTCATACCAGGCCCCCAGCTTTTTCTTCCTGCAGTGAGCACCCTGCCTGGGTGTTGTGTTTTGCCACCTGCCAGCCAGGCTAAGCTGTGGGCTGCCACCTGCTGCCTGCTGGAGCACGCTTCAGTGTCAGACATTAGGACTCTGGGAGGCTGCAGGTGCATGGGGAGCACGATAACTGGCTTGGACCAGGGTTGGGGGTGCATCTGGGCTGCCATCCTAGTCTGTCCTGCTTCTCCAAGCCCTGCAGTGCCACGCTGCAAAGCCCCTCTGCCAGGCAGGCACTGTGCTACCCTGCCATCACTACTGACCCCGGTAAGGCAGTCTGCTGCAGATGGGGGAGCCATGCCCAGGGTTCATGGCAAGGATGGGAGGGGCAGGGGGGCGGTGGGTGTCATGGTAGGGTGAGCTCTGTGGTTGTGGTGCCTGCCTACCGCTCTGAACACCTCTGCGGTCGTGATGTGACCTGTGTTTGTGACCTGCTGTATCTCCAAAGCGTAGGGAGGCCCTTGGCACCTCTGTGCTTCCCTGCCAGCTATTGTCACTGGTGTGTTCAAAGCAAAACAAGGAATTGAGGAGGGTCTGAACATCTCTGCTGTACCACAGAAGCCCAGCCCTGGGTAGGATTTCTAGCAGGAGTTGTTGCTGCCTTCATGGAGGGCTGCATGCCACTGTTGGCACCAGGGACTCGCAGTGAGGAAAGGGTCATGGCTGTGAAGAGCTTGCAGGTGAAGTGCCTTGAGAGGATGGAGGCTTAGACAGGGGCAGGAACTTGTCCAAGGCCCTGGGAGTGCAGTATTGGAGTAGAGACCTTGGGCCCTGCCCACAGCCCTATTGGGAGTTGTGGGGATGTGCTGTGGATGCTTCTGCTTGTGGTCCCCTCATCCCAGTCACTGCACAGAGACCCCACTGCTCTGAAGGCAGCTCCTGCCTGTGGAGCTGAAACCCCTGGCTCCTGCAACCATGGGGGCATCTCCAGCTCCCTATCTCTTGAACCTGCCCCCCCCGCAGTGCAGCATGAGACTGGGGAGCCCTGTCTGAGGTGTCAGGAGGGACTGAGGAATAGGTTTGGCAGTGGAGCTGTTCAAACAGGCCTCAGTGCCTGCTCCACCCCTGGCTCAAGGGGCAGTGCTGGGGGGGAGCTGGCCTTTGCCCTGGGGAAATCGCCGTATTCATTAAGTGCGGGGTGCAGTTCTGGGGCAGGGGCTGGGTGGGCTCCTCAGAGCTGCCATCTTCAGTGGGGTCCTGCCATTTACAGCTGGGATCCTTTCCTTTGGACCCTGCCATGGATCCACCCAGTGCTATTAGCCCCTGTGCTGGCTGTGTGTTGGGCACTGGCTGAGCAGCTGGCAGCCCCGTGGGCAGGCGCAGGGGTGGGAGGGAGTTGAGGGCAGCTTGACATTTGGAGTGCCGTGCATCTGTGGCACCGCGTGTTCCTTCCCTTGGGCTCTGAGCAGGAGCAGCCCCCTCCCCCCCCCTTCCCCAGCGTCAGAGCGGGAGCATCACTTGCCTGGAGAGGGCTTTATAAATAGCCTCAATAACAGGAAACAAAGGTTTCAAAGGATAAACAAACCTCTTGTGGCACAGGGAGGCCTGGGTGGGGGCGGGAGCTGCTGGCCTTCAAACAAGAGGCACCTGGGCCCCCATCCAGCCCTGGCAAACATTCTCCTGTCCTGCTTGGGCAGGGGGCATTGGAGGGCAGTGTTTAGGGATGGGGGGGACCCAGGACTTCTCAGTTCTCTTTTGGAAGGGGGGTGGGATGTAGTGGTTAGAGTAGGGGGGAGCAGTGTGGAAGCCAGGGTTCCTGCGTTCTCTCCTAACTCCACCACCTTGGGCAAGGCCTGCCCCCTCTGTGCCTCAGTTTCCCCACTGTGAAATGGGGATGGTGGTCACCCCCCTTAGCTCTTTGTCTGCAAAGGGCCTTGGGTCTGCCCAGCCAGGCTTGGGGGGCTCAGTCCCCAGATGCATACTTGCCCTCCAGCAGATGTTTCACCGGTCAGGGCTGGGGGGTGGTACCTGCTGGGATGGAGATGGGCTCCATCCTTACCAGGGCTGGGTGTATTAGCCTCACTGGGTCTCTCTTCCCCTTGGCTGGGGACCTTTTATCCTTCTGGTTCAGAGGCTGGGGATTGGGAAAGACTGTTCCTGGCTTGGGGTGGAGCAGGGCAGGTGCCCTGTCCCAGGAGGACAAGGCCCAGGGTGCCCTGCCTATCTCTGCTGTGCTGACTTCTCACCAGGCACTTCCCCAGCTGGCTGGCCTTGGTCCTGCCCATGCGAAGCTGCTCAGCCAGAGGTTGCCTGGTTAACTCCTTCCTGCCCATGCCAGCCTCTCTCTCAGAGCCCTGGCCCAACAATCAGGGCCTTGCAGTCCCTGGAGACCGGACCTCTTGTCAGCCAGTCACATGTACAGGGAGGAGACCCCCTTCTGTGCCACCCCTCTGGGGGTCTCCAGTGCTGAAGAGGTCTCCCTATTGCAGCTCCCTTCAGGCCTGGTGCGCTGGTAGGTGGGGCAATCTGGCAACGGGGTGGGCTCTCTCCAGTTCCCCCATTACCTAGGTGCCCAGAGCCGTGCTGTCTGGAGGGGCTCCATGTCCAGCTACCGAGCTCTTGTAGGGGCAGCTTAGAGCAGTGCCCCCTGCTCGTATTGCTGTTGCAGCCCTGCTCCTCTAGTGAGGAGAATGAGCGAGGCCTTTCCCCCTGCTGTGCCTTGCAGCTCGCAGCCACGCTGGGATCAGGACCCAGGCATCCAGGTCTTCCCCTGCCTCCGTCTGCGCAGAGCAGCAGCCTGTGGGGGCCGGGCTGCCGGGCAGGCAGGCTGGGCCCATCCCTTCCGCCGTGTTGACTCCACACTGGGGCAAAGTTCAGGCGTGAAGGGGCTGCCGTGACTTGTTCCTGCTGCCTGAGCCGACAGCCGCTGCTTTGGGGCCTGGGCTTGGTGCCAGCTCACCCGAGGGCTGGCACGGTGCCTGGCCGGCACATCGCGGGAGGGCACAGACGCTGTCTTCCACCCCCGAGGTGGCTGTGCAGTATTGTCTCTCTCGGCGAGTGGGGACTGGCTGTCCCTTGGCACTGGAGGAGCCTGACCTTGCACTCTGCTGTGGGGTGGGACTGGAGCAGCACTGGCATGGGGAGCCCAGGTGTCTGGGGAGAGCAGTGGCTAGACTACTGCCTGCTAACTGGAGCAGCTTTCACCTGGGGCTGGCCCCTCAGGGTGTGTCCCCACTAGCAGCAGCTGGCAGGGAAAGGCTTGTCATTCAGTTGAGCTCCAGGCAGCCTCGGATGCCGATGGCCTCCGCACGTACTCCTCGGGCACAGGAGTGGG